GGAACACCTCCCATCCACAGAGCTAGGGCTGACTTGTTTATTTCTAGAGAGGTCGACCTGGTGCCTGTTCATCCCGACCCTCAGACCCCAGACACCTCACCATCTGCTCTGTTGGATTGTGGCCAAGTTTTCCTTAGACATAGTCAGTCTCACCCCGTGCCTTCTCAGCAATCTGTCCTGGGAGTTGGAAGGGAATCAGTGATACTGGAGGTGTATAAAACAATCTTGAAAGAGTCTGTGGAGAGTAAGGAAAGGAGAACTAGAAGACCTCTTCCCCCCCACACTGAGACATTGTAGTTTGGTTCCTGATCTTGGCTGCAGAGAATCTGTTGGTTGAATGCCTCAAGAGAGGTAAGATGACCATCATACTGTACCAGTTCAGCAAGCATTGCTAACCACCTGATGTAAGCTCTGAAAATAAACAGTCTTGAACCCACAAAAAGAAAAAAAAAAAAAAAGTTTGTGTGGAAGCTATGGAATTATATGGCTCCCAGACTGCTGCCTTGAAAGTCCCATTACAGTCTGCTTTTGCTAGACCGTATCTCTGCTGATAACAATGCCCTTGCCTGAGCAGCACAGTTCCAGTACATCAAGGAGAAACTAAGGCTCAAAGACACAAAGCCACTAAGGCCAAGAATATTCTAGAATTAGAAGTCTTGCCTGTCTTGCCAGTCACCCCCGGAACCCACCCAGCAGTTTCCTCTTTGCCTCTGTTTCTTGCACAGTAGCTTGCTTGTCATTTCTACTTAAAGAAACATCCTCTGCCCTGCCCAGTCTCAGGCATGGAGCTAGGTTCCTGGCAGCCTGTCAACACAAACAAGGTCCCCCCAGGTCTTGCCCCTTCTCTATGCAATGCCCAGCTGCACGTTAATGCATTTAAAATGTTTATGTTGCCCTGGTCTTTGTTATTTCTTGTGTGGTGAGCTGGAATGCTTGACTTTCCAGTACTTGCACCCCAGTGCCCAGATGTACTGAACACAGTGTTGGTGACGGGGGACTACCTGTGATAGGAGCAGAGGTGAGTGAGGGCTATGCCACCGATATGTATGGGAGGGAAGCAGCTGGCGTTCTGTATCCACGTGTGGTGTGGAAGTGTGTGACTCATGGAATTCTATTCCTATGCCCCCCATCACTGGCTGCCAGCCCTGCAAGGGAGCAGGGTCCTTAGCACCCAGTGGGCTGAGATCACAAGGCTAGCTCACAGCTGGCACCAGGAGGGGGTAGCCGGTGGGCCGGCAGCCCCTGTTCCCCCGTTCCCCGTCCTCTTAGTGAGGGCTCTGTGCTTCCCCTGCACTCAGAGAGAAAAATCATCTGGGAACGTGGTCACTGTGCCTGTCAGTCCCAGCTGTGGGAACAAGCCTGGGATCCGCCACTGTCCCTGATGGTGGACTTGTAGCCAGCAGTCTGTGTCCCTGATGGGCTCCAGTGTCCTGGACAGGAGGAGGTTCCGCATGCTCCTGCTCTCTGCCTAAATCATGTAGGTGGTGAGTGTGACATTTCAATGGAGACTCTAGGGTGGCTTCTGTTTGCATTCCCACTAATATCAGTTGGCATGGGGTGGTGGCGGTTCAGTGGAGAATGCTCACCTTCCTTGGGTTGTACCCTTTCACCAGGCTTATTCAATCTACATACTGAGCAAATAATCTAAGAAGCTGGGCTGTCTAAAGAAGAATGCAGCATGAGGGTTGGAGGAAAGCTTATTAACAACCTGCGATATGCAGATGACACAACCTTGCTTGCTGAAAGCAAAGAAGACTTGAAGTGCTCATTTATGAAGATCAAAGAACACAGCCTTCAGTATGGATTTCAATTCAATGTAAAGAAAATCCTCACAAGTGGATCAATGAACAATATGATAAATGGAGAAAAGATTGATGTTGTCAAGGATTTGATTTTACTTGAATCCACAATCAATGCCCATGGAAGCAGCAGTCAAGAAATCAAATGCCATATTACACTGGGCAAATCTGCTGTAAAAGATCTCTTTAAATGTTAAAGAACCAAGATTGTCACTTTGAAGGTTAAGGTGTCCCTGACTCAAGCCATGGTATTTTCAATCGCCCCATATGCATGTGGAAAGCTGGACAATGAATAAGGAAGACCAGAGAAGAATTGATGCATTTGAATTACGGTGTTGGCAAGAATATTGGAAGTACCATGGACTGCCAAAAGAACCAACAAAATGTGTCTTGGAAGAAGTAGAGCCAGAATGCTCCTTAGAAGTAAGCACCTTGGTCAGCAGTAGCAGGTACCAGCTGCTCCTCACCCATCTGGACAGAAGAACCAGCTCCTAGGAACCAGACCCTGCCCAGACAAGGGATTTGGGAAGACCAGAGCTGGGCAGAGCCCTTCCAGCCAGAGATCCACTGTTGTTCTTGCTCATTCCCTGAGTCTCATGTGCATATGTATTTCCTTGGATAGTCCAACTCTTCCCCACCTCTTTGACTGGCCTACTCCTGAATATTCTGGTGTTACCTCCCTAAGAAGTGTTCCCTGGCAGCAGCATGAGCTAGGGTCTTCTACTGAATAAAAGTACCATATTAAAGGGAATCACTGATAGCCTAGACTTGTATATTTATGAAGACTTTTCTGAAGAAAAGGGAAGAGGCATCTTTTCCTAATTTGTACAAAGGCTCCACAAGGCCTAGTGGTGACCTGGTTCACAGTACAGTCCCTGCACAGCACTCCTCGCTTGTGATGCCCACTATCTACCCCCACCACCACCTCCATCTCCACCACCACCTCCTCCACCATTACCACCACCTCCACCATCTCACCATCACCACCA